ACTTTTCTTGTATAAGTCATAACTTTACATTTCGAAACATTCAGACTGAGACAGTTTCGTGAACACCATGACGAAATTAGAGCTAAGTCATCTTGCAACATGACGCAATCCTCGACTGTCTTGACTGACGTGCAGATTTTAAGGTCATCAGCGAAAAACAAATGGAAACACTTCAGTTCAAAAGACAAGTCATTAATAAATATTAAAAACAATAATGGACCTAGATTTGACCCTTGAGGTACCCCAGACGTGGCCCGATAGTAACTCGACCTATAACCACCATATTCGAAATAACCTTCTATCCCTCAAATATGAATTCATGAGCGACAGCATTGCATCAGACATACCCACTGTTTTAAGCTTATCCAGAAGTGCATAATGATCAACTATATCAAAAGCCTTCTGAATATCTGTATAGATGACATCAACTTGTCCCTGACCGTCCAGTACTTCAGAAATGCATTGAGTAATTAGAGCCAAGTTGGTGACCGTAGATCTGCCTCTCATAAACCCATGCTGATTAATAGAAACTGCACCCCTGACCGAGCAGTAAACCGTTTCATAAGCGATGATCTCAAACAACTTCCTGAAATTGCACAGGATTGCTATTTGGCGATAGTTGGAAATATCAGAGATATCTCCACTTTTGTGAATAGGACAATTTTAGAGGTCTTCCAGATATTTGGATATGTCTCTGATTTTAGAATTAGGTTGAATATGGAAGCCAGCGGTTTCGCTAGTGTATGAATGCAATCTTTAACGAAAAAACTTGGAATACCATCACATCCAGACGTCATTTTGTTCTTTAATCTTTTCGAAGCCCTAATTACGTTTTCTTCACTTATATTTTTTGAAGAAATGATATCAGTAGAATTATTTGTTGGAGGAGATGACCCTAGTAGACCAGACGGGATAAAAACTGTTGAAAAGAAGGTAGCAAAACTGTCCACTATATCCTGAGGCGTATCGCAGACATTGCCGTTAAGCGTCATCCTTGGGAGGATTCTAGATTGCTGTTTTTTGATCTGGGCAAATGACCAGAATTTGCTAGGATCATTGACAATGGCATCCTCAGCCGATTGGACGTAAGCGGAGTAGGCAACACTGATCTGGTTCTTGATGAGCTTCCTAAAATTACTGAACTGATCATAAGAAAACTTAGTACCGTCACGTTTCCAGTTCCTTCTTGCTATGTCCTTCTTCTTGATATTAAGTATAATTTCACGTGTGACCATGGGGGATACGAAAACATTTTATTTTTACAATTAGGGACATGGACCTCAAAGATGTTATTGATAACTGAATACAAGGCGGTACAAGCGACATCAACATTAACTGCACTGATCACCTCCGTCCAATTAACATCTTGCAAGGCTGTGTACATTTCAGGAAAGTTAGCTTTGCGAATGTTAAACCGTGGAGAATTAACAAATGGGAATTTCGTCGGAGATCCGGATGTAATGAATTCCATGATCAGTGCAGGATGATGAACGTCCTCTTTAACAGAAGGTGTATTATCTCTGAGGACTTCTATTTCGATATTTCCTAAAATTAAATCCAGGATTCGACCATTTATATTTGGAATATTATTAAAGTTAGTTAAATCTAAAAACGAAATAAAGTTGCTCATTAATTAGGACTTCTGATCATTAACGTCACTGTTGAATGATGCGACATTAAAGTCACCAGCAACAATTATTTTACAATTACTGAATGCATTGTTAAATACTTCCAAAGCTTCAAGGTACTGACCAAACATGTCCAAATTAATTGAAGGCGGAATATAAATAGAAAAGATAACAAAATGCTCATGGTTAATAATAAGCCTAATACATACAGTATCAATCGACAGAAAGTTTCGACTCAAAGCACTAGCGTCAATTCTAATTGCATGGAAATCGCGTTTTATTGCTATCAGGACTCCTCCGCCGGAAATTAGGCCAGATCGAATAAAGTCACGATCACATATGAACACACAGTATTCAGCCGGAAATAATTCACTATCACTCACATTCACAGACAGCCACGTCTCAGTCAAGCAAATTAAATCAAATTCGTAGTCACTGACTGCATTGAAGAATGACAACGTCTTAGAATTGAGACCAAGAACGTTCTGGTAGGAGCACCTTAGCTTAAGTCTCTCATGACAATTTGGTCTGTTATTGGGTTCAGTTATGCGTTTAAAGTAACAATCTTCGGAACCCCATTGAAATATTTAATTCTGAGGTTACTTTCACCTTGCGCGATCCTTTCATTCAGTTTGCTCTTTAAGTAGCGATAGAGCTCCATCTGTTTTGGAGTTTTATCAAAAGCAACCGATGTATTTTGAGATAAATCGAACTCCTCGAGGATTTATCTTCTTTCATACAGGGTGAGATTTCAGTGTGGGCTTGGTCTATAGCGCCGTTACCAATAAAAGTACAGTTTAGACCAAAAAGACACATATTTTTTTCTGATAAAGCTCATTTTCACTTGAGTGGATTTGTCAACATGCAAAGTTACCGGTATTAGACGGCAGAAAATCACAAATTAAAGCACCGAGGACCTTTGCATTCGCGTTGTGTCACAGTTTGGGCGGCCATGAAGGAATCATCGGTCCCTATTTCTTCGAAAAGGACCGAGGTCATCAAAATGCATTTCTCATGACTTTACTTTGTAATTTTTACCCCACCCTGTATATGTATAAAAGTGATTCATAAACATTCATCGACCCCCCTTTCCATCTAAGATTTTAGGGTTGGTGTCACCCCCGCCCAGGGGGCAGCACGTGTGAACGTGATTTTTTGCCAAACTTGTTTCCCCCTCCAAAAAAAAATCGTCGGGTCTGAGCGTTTTTCCAAAAAAAAACTGAACTGCCAGTAAATGCGTCTGTTACGCCACCCTGTATAAAGCGCTTATAAATCGCAGTATGTAGTATTTCTCAAAAAACTCAAATAAAACAGTCTGTTTTTATTATCTCTAACGGATTTACTGGGATTACATATGACCATGACGACGAGAATGTTGTGCGAACGTCTATTAAGGAACATTCCAGTTTCATTTCAGCCGTAGGGCTCTAAAAATTGAGTTACCCTACTTTCACGAGCAGATTCCGAGGCTTTTCAGAGAGTCGTACGAAAAAACCTCACATGCGCAAGCCCGCCATTATTTTTTTGTCGGGTGCTGTGTGGAAAAACGTCGAGCTCGCGGATAAAGGTCCTCGGTACACCGACAAAAGAACAAAAAGACTCAACAAGTGAAGCCGGCAAAATAGAATTTTAATTATGGCACAACGGAGCTGAAAAGGGGACGGCCAAACCGGGGAGAGAGAAAAAGAGAGCGAGTTATTCCAGCGACGAAATGGAAATCGTATGGGGAAAGATAAAAAGACGCATAAGAATCGAGCATATACCACACCTTAGGGACTATATTAATAAACAGGCAAGCGGAATCGGACAGCAACTTTTAGTTGCGTGAGTTGGTAGACAACGCTGTGAAAAGCTTGCAAACACAGCGGCTCTGACAGTGAACAAAAATGGATAATAATAATAATATACGCCCTTATTACAAAAATATGTACATGGTACATACTGAAAGTGGGACTCAGCTGGCAAAGCTTAGCAATGCTAACTTTACGATTCGATAGAACTTTTAAAGTTAATGCATAAAGTCTATATAAACATAGGTCGAAAAATGCGTGGCTTCCGAAATACAGGGTGTTTAAATTTACTTTCTAAAACAGTTTTTTTTTAATATTTCGAATAATATTTGATGTATAACAGTGAAAATTGGTATACAAGGGTTTTTTGGTACGATAAAATGAACCATGGGCATAGTTTTACTGTAGCCGCTAGAGGGCGCTCTCTACTGTACCTGTAATGTATTAAAATGACCGAAAATTTTTTCTTAGTGCAATTTTTTGCTTTTTGAATAAAAAAACTGATTCTTCACACTTTTCAACATAAAAAAGCTTTCTTGTGAATTTTCGTTATAGTTAGCCGTTTTTGAGATATTTCGATTTTTAAGGTTCGATGCATTTTTAATTATTTATTATTATAAGTAAATTTAAACACCCTGTATTTCGGAAGCCACGCATCTTTCGACCCATGTTTATATAGACTTTATGCATTAATTTTAAAAGTTCTATCGAATCTTAAAGTTATGCAACCATAAACTGAAACACCCTGTATATACATATATATACAGGGTGACTTCGAAGTTCATTATTTATTCATCATTTATTTTAACAGTGAGTAGATCTGATCAAAAGAAATGTTTTTTTCCTTCACCATTTTTCTGGTAAAATTAAAGTAACAAAGTTATAGCCCTTTGGAAGTTTGAGTACCGCCCTATTTCAATAATAATATTATGTGCTCGTGTTTGGCGACAACGGATATAATTCGCCTTATCGGTTCATCGCATCGGAAACAAAAAAGCGAAAGAATTTGGAACGATGTTTTTACAATTATTTCATTCAGTTGTATACAGTCAGTGTCAGTCGGTAGTGGATAGGGGTGTCTGTTGCGTGGCTCAAACGAAATAAAAAATGGCACATGTTTATTCGGATCGGTTTCCCAATCGAGTGCAACCAACCCCTCGTGCCTTTGTTAATGTAGTACAACGGGTTCGTGAATCATTTGACTTAAGACCTCACATATAGACGGCATGCCGGTGCTCCAAGACCTCACGATTAAATACAGGTCCGTACTGAAATACTTGTCGGGAGGATACTTTATAAAACAAGGTAAATTTTTTTTTATTTTTACACACATATTTTGGTTTATCTTCCTTCTACAGTCATTATCTGAAAATTAATGACTCAACTTCAAAGTCACCCTGTATATACACATATATATATACAGGGTGGCGCATCGAAAATGCAACAGACGCTTTTACTGGCGGTCGAGTGGAATAGATTTATCTAGACTCCGCCTGTAAGGGATAAGATGTGACGTACATTTGTATTCAAATAAACACCTTTCACTATTATGATTTTTCTGATCTTTTTCTTTTCGTTACAGACTGGATCTGGCACACCGACCTGGACTTTCTCGTCACGCATCGCGATCGCATGGTCGTGCTCAGCTTCATCGCCAACAGCACCGCCGGCACCGCCCCCTTGCGGTCAGTACCACCAACTGCTGTCGGCTTAACCGAGAAACCGACAGCCGCGCAATTCGTGAGCGGGCCAGCGATGACGCACATGGTTGTCAAGACGCTCAAGGACATCGTCGGACATGACAATCATACCGATTGGGAGAACAGCAGTAAGGATATCGGTGAGTGACAGTATCGAAAATATACGAGGCTTGATCAATGGCAAGCCATCTTTGGTCAGGTTAGCCTCGGAAATAATTCTAACCACTTAACTGACGTTTGTAAACACCACACTGGTCGGATCTTGTTAACAATATGTCCGAATATGATCAGCGTGTGGTCATTCAATTTTTGTGTACAAACATTGTAAATTCACACGCGAATTCAAGCAGTTCATGGAAACGCACGTATTGCGTATCCATTTAAGAGTGGAAGAGAGGAGACGAATGATAAGTCGCGACCAGGTGCATTGACAGGAATGTGGCATGTGTGTTCACCGCCTTTTGTCAGAATAACTCTACCGGGTTGTCGTTTGAGTCTAACTTCCTTTCTAAACTTGCACAATCGTAGCCACAATCGGTGCAGACGATTTTTTCTAGCCGTCAGATTTCTCAGCGGAGAGCAAGGAGCACAAAAGGCCTCTAATTGCCGCTATTACCAACTGGGGCGGTTTTAAATGCTTCGCTCGGATCGGATTTTTAATGGAGAGGGAGAATTCGAATGGGATTAATCTGTCTCCATCACTTCGTTCTTCTTATTTTACACCGCCAGCGTTGCGCGGCGGCTGGTATTACAAGAAAGTTGTCTACTGAGAGTTTTCAATTAAATACTAGCTGCCGCGGAACTGATATCTCCTCGGCTTCTACACTTTTTCAACGGTTCTTTTCTATTTTTTGCACGCTGCATTGAAATATAGGCTGCTTTCATGCAAAACTGTGCTCAGTCATTAGTTAATGAGACCTTTTTGGATGCAAATGGTTGTGGTTTGGGCGTCACCTAATTCCAAGCAATAGGAAAAGAAATAACAAGTAACCAATGTTGGATCTCCGGCGCTAAAGGAGATACAAACCTACAAGGTACACAAACACTTATTGAACAAAAGAAATAAAAACTAATTTTAAAGAAGTACCTGGGAAACAAGCAAAAGAAAGTTATTTTATATTACCACCCAGCTAAATAGTTACCGGTAAAGCTAAAATTAAAAAACAAAAAAAAGGCAAGTGCTTCGCTATCACCGATAGGCAACCGAGGGCAGGAAGTTCCAGCTGCAACTCAATGCTCGAAGGTACAACCCTCGAAAAATGACAGGAATGGGGGACTGCTCCTCACAGCCGTGAGTCCTACTTAAATTCGCCTCGGAGTATTACTGCAAACAGTCCCCAAATCCCCGAGAGGATGAGAAAAAGGGCCCCGCCAACAAAACTCACCAATGCAGGCCGATTTCTATTTAAAACTCCACAACCCGATAAAAGCGCAGCACCGCGTGTGAAATTTATTCACTAAATCGGGTTGTGGCGCTGTACTGCCTACACGAGACGACCGAATCGATGCATAGTGGAAATATAAAACGCAAGATTTGTGACTTAGCTTATTGTGCAACCGTTCAGCACCGCCCCTGCACCTGACCATTAGCGACGCATGCTAATCAAGTTAAGGGTCGCATCCCCGGGGTGCTCAGCGCCCCTGAAACATCTCGAGGACACCGCGTTCTCTGCGCCGGTGAATACCGCACATGAGGAGGCGCTTCGTTTAAATTCCTCTTTTAAGCCATTACCCGCTAGGGGTGCGGATTTCGTCATTAGGGAGACAGTTTAATTTTCTTTCGGAACGCGACTTGCATACAGGAAGGGCTTAATGACGTGATGTTGGAGAAGGGAGATATCATGTTGCTTTTACCAGGGCTTTAAGTTTCATCAAATGGTAAGGAATCATGTATGGTATATCTGAAGTCACTTGAAATAGCATAAAAACCTTTGGTCGGCGCTTCCTTTGTAATTTCATGACGTATCATAGGCGTGCGGAAATTTATTTAGAACGATAATAATAATGTTTTTATATCACAATAAATTGATTTTACTATCTTCTTATTTTTTTGATTTGGGATAAAAAATACTTATATTGGGAGTTTAATTTATGTTGACTGAAAGTTAAGAAATGGAAAAATTACAGAATTCCAACGTTTGATATAGGCAAATATTTACATAGCAGGTAGGTATATAAAAAGGTATATAAAGACTTACATTATAGGTATTTATATATCATCCTCGCCTTCGGAGCTGTCGCTAGAGTCATCTTGTAGAGGAATTACAACGGGATTTACAGGAGGCAAAACACAATATTCATTATCTTTTTCAATAATATACCTAGAACACTGCTTCCATAGGTCTGTGGCAACAATATGAGATACTGCATCTCTTATTGTGGCCAATAGCGATTCACTTAATTGAGGGGTCTGATTATGTTTTCTTACTTTTTTTTTTAAAGCAGCCCAGACCAACTGAATCGGGTTAAAAATGCAGTAATAGGGAGGTAGACGTAATACTTCATGGCCATTTTGCTGAAGCAGATTGTCAACAACATACTCTTTTTCAAATTTTTGTCTTTTAATAAGATCCAATAATATGGCTTTGGTTGATTGTTGTGGTATTTCCATTCCCTTATCCTTCATAAAATCAATAATGTCTTGTTTTTTTGTGCCTGTATTCGGAATTTTGTTTTTCTGTCGGGAATGGTATGGCGCATTGTCCATAATAATCACTGAATTTGGGGAAATGCTTGGTATTAACTGCTGCTCTATCTACTGTTCAAATAAGTCGGAGGTCATGTCCTCATGATAGTCGGCACATGATTCTTTGATATTTTTGGCAGATAACAGCAAGGCATTAGGTATAAATCCATTTTCACTGCCAGCATGGAGAATAATGATTCGTTTTCCACGGTTGCATGGTGCATTTAAAATGCACTTGTTGCTGTCGTCAACCCAGCCGTACTGCACAACATCATGGGTATCATACCACGTTTCATCCAGGTAAATCAGATTTCTTTTCTGCTCTCTATAGATTTTAACTTTGTGCAAAAATTCTTGGCGCAATTCAACGATTCGAGACGACTCCATAATCACCATTCTTTTATCTAATTTTTCGTATTGAAAACCACACAGTTTTACAATACAGTGCAGTGAGTCTAAGCATTTGTAATTATAAAAATCTTCAGGATAATCTTTTAATTTATCCCGTATCATTTCCAACGTGGGCACCAAATTTTCTTTATAAAATCCGTATATTATACGACGAATATCTTCCTGAAAACCCACGTCTATTCTTTTTAATTTTTGCCCTATGCGCTTTCTGTGGAAGGAATGGTTGACTACATCTCCCCTTTTTATAACCCGATAAATGGTAGACCGACTGATTTTTGTCAGGATACAAATTCTGTTTAAAATTTCATTTTGCGAGGAATCTGGATTTTCGTTTTTCAGACAATCATACATATTTAGGATTACTCTTTGGGTCTGTTCCTCTAAATCTTTATGAAAGAATTCTGCCTGCACAGGTTCATCAACCATCTCCTCGTGGCTTGGAGCATTTTCCCAAGGTCTCCAAAGAGCCATATTTAGGACAATCAACACAACAATTAAATCAACAAGTAAACTGAGTATTCAAAAGTCAAAAACACACAAACTAATAAAATCTATGAAAAAACACGGACAAACTAAAGAAAACACGTTTATTCACCGCTACACGGCACTGGCTAAACTGTTTCAATTTTCAGTAGCCACCTGCACTTGTTCGGAGCTCTGAAATACACGCTTTCTCATTGGCTATGTCCACGCATAGGCGTGCTTTACTCCACGTGGACCGGTGAAACTGCCTTTGATCTTATACGGGGGATATTTGCTGCGAAATTTGGCGATTTTTGCAGCAACTGAGCGTGTTAAATATAGATATATATAAAACGCACCCGGTATTTCACAGTGTTTCAAGTGACTTCAGATAAAGCATACTGTATTTTCAGCAATCAATTAGATTATGTAAATGTATGGATGGTACCGAGAAATAAATCGAAATGTATAGTCGTTCCTTAAGGAAGTTTAGCACTGTGTCCTCTCACAATTATCCACTCTGTATCGTTCCGAATCTCAAACAAAAACGAAAGCAAATTCAAGTGACTCAATCAATTACACCTAATGTTATCTGCCGGGTAATTCCTGAGATTACTACCGATATTGTGAAACGCCAAAATAAAATAAAGCAACTACTCCGCATTAGTGGAAGAATAATTTGGTTTGAGTTTCTCGGCGCAGCCGGTATTAAGGTGAAATTAATTAAATAACTCAGGCATAGCTTTGTGCTCGAACACACTGTTACCTTTGCGGATTCGGATTATTTAATATTGAGCCACAGCCGAGTTTGGGGCTCTTCCTTGAAGTTCGGAAAGCGCCCACGGAGTATATAATGTTTGCGAAATGATAGCATTGCATTTGGAACAAGTTTTTTAATTCGTCAACGGAGTGACTGAGTATATTTTGATTGCATCGATTTACTTCTACATCAAGAACGGCTGATACATTTTTTTTTTTTGTTACAGAAACAGGATTTGGGAGTCCCGTAAGCATCGAATACTTGAACTTAGCTCTAGCTCTAGTCATATATTCAGTGAGGTATCCAGCGATCTTCTGGGCTACGAACAAATGTCTAGGGCTCATCTTCTCATTTCAGCTGCTTATCAACGGCCTCCATACCTTAGTCTCATTTGCTGGAATGTCAATTTTATACAAGGTAAGGAATACTTTCAATACCCCTAAATTTCTTCTTTTGATTCAAAATAAGTTTCTATGGTTTACTATACTTTCTTGTGTAATGTCTAAAAGCAAGGTCTCCGCAATGCACGTAGTTTCACGTTCTTCTTAGCAGATCATCAGATTCAACTCTAATATTTAAATAATTATAAGGCGTTTTCTTTTGTTTCAGGTGCATGTTGTGGGACCTTCCAAGGCTCTTCCACTATTATCCCATAACGTACGAATCTACAGCTTCGCAGGAGATTCGCCTTTCCTGCTAAATCCCGAAGTTACTTTCGCGATGTACATTCTGTCGACGTTGCTGGTACTAGCGTCCAGCATCGTACTGTATTTCTACGGTCATACCCGGTAAGTCATAGAATTCTCTGTTCAGTGTAATTTCATAGATTCTGTTTGAATGGGGAAGAATTCTTTTTATCTGATTTAGGGTCGATTTCACTAGGAATAAAATCTTACGGGGTATTCCAATCAATTAGGGAACAGCTTATTGAAATGCAATTTGACGGAAGCTGTCAAAGCTGATGTAATTTCTATTGATATATTGAATAAAATCGTGAAAATGCAGTTGTTTTATAAATAAGGACGCATTCTAGATTTAATACCATGCCTTTGAGCTTTAGAATTAGGATAACTTTCATAGAATTTCGAATTTCTATCATTTCATAAAAGACGGGAACTTATTTGAATGGACCAATGAAAATGCAAGAAATAATAGGTCGATTTTGTAGCTATTATATACTAAGTGACATATGAATCCGAACACCCAGTTTAAATGGTTTTATTTTAATAAAATTTTGGATAAGTACTTAATGAAGCATAATAAGTAAATGATAAAAATTTCAAAATGATTGCACTGCTTTAAAGCTCTTTGACCTTTAATCATGTGTCTAGGCATGCTTCTGATCAGGTGGTCAATGTCCTCCTGTGGTATCTCATTCCAGGCAACCACAAACTCCTCTCAAAGTGCTTCTAGAGTCTGAGGAGGACGTTGCAAATTGAGCAATCTCCTACCCATCATATCCCACACGTGCTCAATTGGGGATAAGTCGGGAGATCTTGGTGACCATGGTAACAATGTGACATCATTATGTTGAAAGAAGTCTATTGTGACTCTTGCAACATGTGGTCGGGCATTATCTTGTTGGAAAGTCTTTCAACAAAAAACTGTGGATTCCTCCTTTCACCACGTCGACTTCTAACCCTAGCACGACCACCGTGCATGCCTAAACAAAATCGAGACTCGTCACTAAAGACAATACTGTTCCATTCCTGATCCCAGAGTGACCGTTGTCTGCACCACTCAAGGCGATTACGTCGGTGTTCTCGAGTTAAAGGGAGGACCCAGTGTGGCCTGTATGAAAACAAGACAAAACTTCTCATTCGTCGGTAAACACTTCGCATGCCAATAGGTCTTCCGTGTTCTGCAAACCATTCATTTGCAATGGACATGGTAGTGGAGAAACGGTCCCTTAAGGCCAATAATCTTAAGCAGGGATCTTCACGGTATGTTGTTCTACGGCGGCGTCCAGTGCCCCTTGCTCTTTGCGTACGGCCTTCTCGAAGCCATGCCTGACAACACCTAACCACAGTGTCTACACTTCTTTGCACTCTAACTGCAATTGCCCGAAAAGAAAGTCCAGCTTCCCGAAGTCCCACTATACGGCCCCTATCAAACTCACTAAGTTGACGAAATCGTACAGGTCCCCGTACTCTAGGCATCGTAACCGATCGTAAAGGATGTCAGGAATCAAAATCCGCCAACGTTGATTCTTTACTGCGGCTGAAATATTCATTTTTAGAGCGTTAGTGAATTAAAAAAAAGCAGTATAAAAACCGGAATGTCCAACTGATAAGGCTGAAAATTTTTTCACTTGTTATTTACAGTAAGATAAATACAATCACCAACATTTATTAAAATAAAACCATTTAAACTGGGTGTTCGAATTTATATGTCACTTAGTATAAACAAACAGCACATCCCTGGGTCTTGAAACATCGACATTTGAAAATGTGTACGCATCCCATTATTCGTCGTCATCAAAAATACCTATTTACAAAATATTTACAAGACTTATTTATATCTTTTCTTTGTATTTGATTTGGAAGGCGTCTGGAATCTCAATTGCTTATGAAGTTTTCTGCAGTGTTGCCGAACCGAAAAAAGAAACGAAATTGGTAAAGCTGAACAACAAAGAATATCCAAGTTTATGAGCGTAAGCATATCAAAAACCGTGAATGATATTGTGCGAATATCAATCTAAGGTTCCATAGCGGTACCGATGAACGGCAAGAAAATGATTGAATGTTTGGAAACGAGCGATATCTATTAAATTTTTGGTAGAGTCTTTGTCATCAAGTAGGTGTTTTATGGCTATCTGCAAGAGGTTTATAGGAAAAAGCACACTATAGATGATTTTAAATCAGCAAAATCGCATATCAATTGAAGATAATAATATAAACATGAATGAGCAATCAACAATAGTGAAAAAACAAGAATTTTATTAAAAAATCAAACATTTTTTTAAACTTTGACAGAATTATATGTAATTTCTTAATAATCAATAAGCTGGTGATGTTTCAATGACAAGCTGTCATCTGATACCTTGACAATATTTTGATTTCAATATTTCACAGCTATTCGTTGCTAAAATTTCATTCCCTATATTTGACGAACTGTTGGAGATGGAAAATAACGGCTTGTTGATTTGATAATCCTGGTGAAATCCACCCTTAAACTATAATATTATGCATTATATATTGTCATTATGCAGCATCGTCAAATAACAACTGATCATTTAGTAACTTTTTAAGCATTCTATATTGTCAACAGACATGGCAATAGCTGGAATTGCTTCGTGTATCATAGCAGTGCAGGGGTGTACTTAATGAACATTAATATAAATTGAAGAAAAAAGAAGTTCTCCAATTTGTTTTTTTTTTCAGCATAATGACTATGTTTAAAGCATGCTATGGCGACAATGTCAACGTTTTATCTTTGTTTTTGTTCACCCTTGTTAAACTATTATCTCTTAGTTTTTGTGAATAAAGCAGTTTCTGAGAGCTGAATAGTACAGATATTTTTAGTCATTGCCCTTTCATTTTCTAGTGTAAATCATAACAAAAAGCCTCGAGTTCGAAGACGTCCAAATTATCACCATCGTAGCGACTTTGACAGGAGTAGAATTATTAGCTATCGAGATGTTGGTTTGACCTATCGCGAAATTGGCCGCCCTGTTAATTGCACTGCGATGACGGTAATGCGTGTGTGTCGTGTGTGGATAGAAGAAGGTAGAGGAACACGGAGAAGGCCAACTGGTCCACCGATCTGATTTCAGCTTTCAATGCTTCGGTGGTTGCAGGCTTTTTGACATAACCTTATGACTTCAGATAACCCCAAAGCCAAAAGTCCCAAGGTATTATCGCAAGATGCTCGTCACCGAACCGGGACGACTCGACCAGGAGCAAAACTGCCTATGTTTCACGAGCAGTATGGCATGTGGCACAACCCTGCTGAAACCGTTTGTCATTAAGAGCTACGTCTTCTAATTGTGGCACAATAAACTGAGCAATAATTGCAGGATAGCGTGCGTCATTCACTGTTGGTGGATTACATGCCTCGTCTTCACAGAAAAACGGTCCGATAGTTATTTCAGTGCATAGTGCACACCTAACAGTTACACGTTTTGGATGCATAGCTTTCTCTTGAATTACTCTTGGATTGCCTGTGGGCCAAATGTGGCAGTTTTATCTGTTGTCGAACATGCGCCTCATCGCTAAAAATGAGTTTATCCGCAAAATCAGCATTCACGTCCTGTTGTACACTCTCGCGAACTGCTCTGACATTTTCTTCTGAACGACCTCGTCTCATATGTTTCACATCATTAAGTGAACCAATACTTTCAAATTCTTGGATTATTCTTTTGACAGTAGAAGGGGTAGGAACATTATTCCGACCGAATATTAGCTGCACTTTTCGAATCATTACAATTAAACTTTCACCACTTTGGTAATAATGTTTAAGAATTGGGATGCGCTGTTCTATTGTGTAATGATTCATTTTCATCAATTACCGCCTGTCTACTATCGATCTGTCATGTGACAAAATGGCGCGTATTTCAAATATTGCATTCTTATTCTTACTTTAACCATAATTGGTTTGGTTTTTAAGATCAATTTCGAATGTCTAAGGCACCAGCAAATCAAAGTTCCCAAACACGCATAGTTCATTTACCTCCTGCGGAAGTCAATAAACCCGCACGCCTCGCTCCAAGTCCCAAAAGCAGCTCCATAACGGGAATTTCAATAAGCAAAACCGCTTCTAAACAATCTGCACCGTACCCCGAACTAGACATCCTAGATCACGGATCCCCTTGCCTCCTCTCAATGCCAGACCTCCTCTTCTAAATTCCATTGGAATATCGATTTTACAATCAAGCTCGTCTGTGGCGAGAGTACACTTGCCGCACGTGTTCGCAAACGATCCAGGGAATGTAAAAAATAGCTGATATCGGTATCGGTCTTTGATCTGTTGTACAGCGCCAATCGACATCGATAAGAGCGATTCTATAGGATATGATAGTAGATTAAGGCCACACTGGCGATAGTCAGGCTAGCATAACATATCCCAATGTAAAAGCTTGGCGTTGGAATAATGTATCCCAAAGAAAAAATGCATACTTTATTTATGTTAACGTTCACGATCTTGAATACATCGAGAAAATTGCAGACTAAATAATTAAAGCATTATACAGGGTGTTTCAGTTTATTGTTGCATAACTTTAAGATTCGATAGAACTTTTAAAATTAATGCATAAAGTCTATATAAACATGGGTCGAAAAATGCGTGGCTTCCGGAATACAGGGTGTTTAAATTTACTTTCTAAAATAGTTTTTTTAAATATTTCGTACAATATTTGATGTATAACAGTGAAAATTGGTATACAAGGGTTTTTTGGTACGACAAAACGAACCATGGGTATAGTTTTACTGTAGCCGCAAGAGGGCGCTCTCTACTGTACCTGTAGTGTATTAAAATGACAAAAAAATTTTTCTTAGTGCAGTTTTTTGCTTTTTGAATAAAAAAACTGATTCTTCGCACTTTTCAACATAAAAAAGCTCTCTGGTGAATTTTCGTTATAATTAGCCGTTTTTGAGATCTTTCGATTTTTAACCTTATTCTGCTTTCAATTTCATAAATATTTGCAGGCACAGCCTACTTGATACTGACTTTTTAAAGTTATTTTATCATAAATAATTAAAAATGCATCGAACCTTAAAAATCGAAATATCTCAAAAACGGCTAACTATAACGAAAATTTACGAGAGCTTTTTTATGTTGAAAAGTGCGA